ATTCTGGTTTCTAATTATGAACTCTCATGGAGAAAGAAAAGAAGAATACAACATATGCTCTGTGTCTACTTTATTTCAAATATAACTAATAGAAAACCAAACTGATGATACCCAAATCAGCTTCTCTCTTTATCTCCCTTTTTCTATTAAAACTCATAGCCGGGTGCTGGTGTCTCATGCTTGTAATCCTAGCTACTCAGGAGGATGACATCTGGTTTGAAGCCAGCAAAAAGCTGGAAGTGGAGCTGTGGCTCAGGTGGTAGAGTGTTAGCCTTGAGCAAAAAATGCTCAGCGATAGTGCCCAGTTCAAGCCCCAGTACCAGCACACACAAATACAAAAAAGCAATATTTAAATTCTCAAGCTCAAGACAAAGAATTATTATTGATAACTTGTTTGTTCCTTCTTTTCAACTCCAGAGCACATGTATGAATGCATAAACACACACATACACACACAAACACACACATGCATGCACATGCACACATACATACACATCAGGCAATCAGACAGTCCTTCACTGCTTCCCTCATACTTTCCTTTCTATTGTCTATGTCCCATCAGTTTTTTGTGCTGTAACCTCAATTCAGCTCTCCAACCCCTGTCTCAAACCCCCACTATACAAAGGCAAGAGATTACAATGCATGCCAGATCCAACTGGCATACTTCCAACCCAGGGCAGGACTGGTCACAGTACCCTAAGGTATATGGGATGTGGGGACAATTACCAGTGGCAGTGATCTATGGAAGTATCAAGAGAAACTTACAGAAAACAAGCTAAGCTGAACACAACCACAAGGACATGAGAATGCAAAATCTATGAGGCATGATAGACTAAGGGAAGATGGAGGAAGTAAAGTCAGAAATAATTCCCTAAACTTAGGGTAAAACTATTCATTCAAGTGTTCTAGGTGGTTCCTTGATCTGTAATGAAAAGTGTAAGAGGAGGTGTAAAAGATGCAATCTGAGGTGATTGCTCTTGAGTGAATTCATGCAAGTGCACCCTCAATGGCTTCCGTGCCTGCAGTGACCAGAGCGCCCACTCACTCTACCTTTACCTCCACCTCTCACTCTCTAATACTACCTACCAGACTACCTACCAACACTTTTCCACAGTGCACCTCTGATGACATCATTCTTCTGCTCAAAAAGGATCCAGGACTTCCCACTCAGGCTACATGGAATGAATATTCCGTATGGTTTTGAACAAAGGCAGCTGGGCACCTCTCTTAGACTACATTTACACCTGCACTCCCAGCATCCTTCACCTTCACCGGCCACATTTTTATTACATCGCATATAATCCTTGCAGATAACTGTTATTTTGGTTGTCATGAGCAAGAAAAAGGAAAGAAAATATACATGAGAATGCAGGGGGGTTCTTCCTTTCTTCTGTTTAATTTGGTGAGCAAGGATAATGGAGCTATTCTTCCCCTATGAGTATTTTTTTTCTTTTTGCAGTAAATAAGGATCCCTAAAAATGTACAAATTTGTCTTATGACTCTGTTCTGGATATTTAGTATCAGATTTGCTGATTCATCCACTGATGCAATTAAATCTGTATCCAGATATCAATTTACAGGCTTCAAAATGAGTTTTAAAAGAAAAGTCACAATAAATATTTGTTGGATAGCTATTTTTTAATGCCATCTCTTTAGTCTGAAGAGACATTGACAAAATAAAGACTTCCTTTTGTCCTTAAGCAACTAAGATTGCAACATATGAGATAAAAATCCCACAAACTGCAAACCCAATAACACATACTGGAAGTGACATGAGAGAAGTATGAAAGTGCTAAGGGAATTCTTAGAGCACATGAAATAAAACAGGAAGATAAGTTACCCTAAAGTAACCAAAAAAAAATCAACCAGACTGTGTCATTAGTAAGTGCTTTAACTGATAGCGCAAATAATAGATGAGGCCGATAATGCAATTGAGAAAGTTAATTTGTCTTCTGGGAATTCATGGATAAAGAAGTCAATGTGTTATCAAGCTCAACATATAATAAAGATTTCTAAGAGGGAGGTTTTGCCTAATATGTAATTCAGGTATTTGTAGTTAAACATCTAGCTGCCATCGGAGCTTGAATTCAAGAGGGCTTTTTATAATCTCTAAGGAGGCTGCTTGGAGATAATGAGATTTGTGGATGAGTGAAAGATTGAGTAAACTCAACAGTATCTTCAGACGTCTGGAAAATTCACATTCTTTATGCCATAGTGTTAGGTACACTTCTTTGGACTGGCTCCAGATTCCCTAATATTGTCAGATCTGACTCTTCTTTAAAATTTCATATGGCTTGTATTTCCTTCTTGGAATCATACTAAACAGAATACGGTGACCACATCTACAAAGCTCCACTACTTGGATGTTGGCTATTCCAGCACACCAGGGATCTCAGAGTAACTATCGCATGCTATTTTGATGTTGGGAGAATCAGGGTTAAAATTCTGGCTCTATGATTCATTAGGGCAGTGACTTTGTAAATCACTCAACTGTAACACCCACTACCACCACCAGCCTCTATTTCCTCATACACATAATGAAGTATGAATGATATCTCTTAAGACACTCCTTATCTCAAGTAAGGTAATATACATAGATGGCATTTGAAAATTGTAACTCATTACCCACAGTTTACACACATTATCCTAGAAACAAGGTATATGATCATTCAATTCTACTGTGTAAGTTTTGTATGGTGAGTGAAAGAGGAGAGATTCACCCTCCTCTGCCATTCTACAGCACAAGCTGATGCAAGGAGACAGGGAAAAGGATAGATAAGAAGGAATATTATAAAATAAGAAAGCAACATTCCATAAGGGCTTTCAGATAGCTACAGAATGCTCATGGGACCAAATGTCCTTCCTTCATGCTACTGGTTTAATGAATGCTCACTAACTGACCCAGGGACAAACAAATGGATAATTTACTAAACCCATGAATGGATGAGAATGTAGCCAGTGTAAAGCTCAAGAAATGAAGTTGGCACAGTCAAGTCTAAAAACTATCTTTCATGTGACTGAAAAAATATAATTCGTATTATATTTAAACAGTGTTCAGAATTCAGTCATTCCTGCTACTAATTACTGGTAGTTTCTGAGTTCCTAATATTTGTTTTTAATTCTCACAAAACCTTGTGAATTAAGTAGTATCCTTATTTAACTCAAAACAACCATTATTTCAAAACACATTGACCCAGTGGGCTGACTGAGCCAGTAGCGAGCAGAGCTCAGTGTACTAAGCAAGAAGGCCACTTGCACTCCATGACCAGACTATGGCCATGAGTAGAAGGCATTTAGGAGACAGTCTCCCACAAGGTGGGAGATTAGGTACAATCAACTGAAATTTAGCTCTGTACCATATTTTTGGAATAACTGTAAAAGCCAGGCTTGACAGCAGACAGAAAACTATGTACTGAACAAAGACATTTCAATTGGTTATCATATGCTAGCCTAAATATACCTAATGAAGAAATTAAGGCTTTGCCTTTTAAATTTTTTAAACACCTCTATTCTGATGGGCTTTTCATCTAATTGCCTTATAACCCTTTAATTATACACACACACACACACACACACACACACACAATCAAAATGGCACTACAGAGGCATAACAACAAAACATTTCTGGTCACAAGTAAGGACTGAATCATGAATTTGACAGACTGGATGAAAAGACCCTCTGGAATTTTACACACCTGATTTCTACTTTCACTGGATACTTAAAAACTCGACAAACAAACCAAGTTCCAAGGTATTTCCCCACCTCAAGACAGATTATTTTAGACAAAGCTAAAGAGACTTGTTGGAATGGCATACATTACACATACATTGTCACCAAACAAACACCTTCTATGAACATTACACAGAATTGTCACTGAAAAACTATCTTCAATATTCATGTCTCAGGATGCTCACAGTTCTGCAGACACTATTGATTAGTGTAACTTCGAAGTTGATTATTTTACTCCCTTATTCATGACCACTTCCCAGGTTTTAAAATGGTTCCAGTGTATTTGGAAAGAAAGTAAAGTAACAAGCTGCACATTTTTAGAATCATGGAAAAAAAAAAAGAATCTGAGAAACTCAAATCTTGTGACTTAAATGAGAAAAACAAATTTTGTTCCAAATTTTCTGTTATTTGTAGAAAGGGTTAATTTAAGCATGAATCTGCCTGCATTAAAAAAAATTACCAAGTCCTAAAATCAGTATCATTTAAATTTTTGATGCCAAAAATCTGTTTGACAGAGCGGGCTTTACTATACTGACATTTTAACAGTAGCCAAAGTCCTGTTCCCACTAAATTCGGTCTTGGCAGTACCAATAATCTGCTAACAGCCTAAACTGGTTCTGTGTGCTTTACCTCCAAAGCTTCCACAGCAACCCAGGGAAATGTGGAAGTGGAATCAGGCAAGTTTTGGCCTTAAAGTTCAGTCCTTATTACAAAATCCAAAATTTCTGTAACACAAAAGATAAGATGCTAATTTACTTTTTTTAAAAAATCATGCTTTAGCTGTGATTCTGACAAGATGCAAGTATGCATAAAAAAAAACCAGGAAAAAATTTGATATTCTCATACAACCTCAAGATTATGAAAAACAAAAGTAAAGTAGTACTAAAAGGGGCTAGAGGTTTAGCTCCGAGGGAGAGCCTGTACAAGGGCCTGAATTAATCTCCAACATCAAAACTAAAATAATGTGAAATAGAACAAAACAAAATCCAATTGTAATAAAAGGATGAATTTCAAACCATAAGGTGACATTTTCCAATGTTCAGCTAAAACTGGGTATCTTCAAAAATACAACCAAAATAGAAACAATTGCATGTACAGACTTACAAATGCTTTCACTTGAGGTAACAATTCAGACATCAATCACAGACTCTGAGGAGCTTAAACCATTATCCTACAGATTATCACATAAAGCTTACTAAATATTGTGCTCAAGAAATCTTTCCTGTAACTATGAAATCAAGCCACATAGAAAGCATTTGGTTCAACTTACCTAATGGCCAAATGTTAAACAACTGAAAAAAGAATACTCCCAATGCTGTGAATTTTTCAAGTAGATCTGATTACCATCGTCTTTTAAAAAAAGTCAAAGACTCCACCTAAAAAGGAAAATACAAACAAAAATAGTATGTAAACCAGGGGTGCTTTATATAAGCTGTATGATAATAAAACAAAATTTAAATTGAATCAACTATTATATGTTTTCCTAGTTAGTGCAATACTCAAAACTATATAAAAACAAAATGATCAAAATGAGAGTATCTGAAAACGTGTAGAGTGCAGGTTCTGAAAAACTATTAAGCCCTAGCTACATACAGTCTCTATTAAGGAGAGAAATTGACCCTTACAGAGATCACTAAAACATAATAATGGTTACATAGTCTTGGATGGGCTTCCCTAGCATGACTTTCCAAATCATTACGCGAGTGATACCTTGTTTCTCAGAGTAAGTCTCTAGTAAAAGACCCATAAATAACTTAATTTTGGCTTATAAATACAAGTTTATTTTGTCTATTTTGCCAGGAGTTGATCCTTTCTAAGATCCATTTTAATCTCAGCTCTAACTGAAGGATCAAGAGAAAGCAAGAAATATTTCAATTGTGGTGAGCCTAAAATGAACCTTGATGTGGAGGGGGAGTTTATCAGAAATAGGAAAAAAAAATTACACAGCTTCCATCTAATCCCAAATCAGTCCTTCCTGAGGTGGATTTATTACATTAAAAAGACTAATATTTTCCAAGTCCCAAAATATCCAATACAACCATATACAAATAAAAGTTCAAAAATATAGGCCAAAGCTATATTAAGTTCATGGTTTGTACGATACAGTTTAGAAAGAGCCACACTTGCCATCCCCCGAATCTCACTGCACACACTAATGAAGTATGAAAAATAAAGGCTGAAGTAGATCTTTTATCCACTTCTGATTCCAGAAGGTACTCGCTAAACAACAACAAAAGTTGCTAATTATGGAAAGATTAAAAAAAAACAATAATCACAGTACTAAGTAGAACTCAGTAAAATGTTTTCATTTCCTAGAAAACCTACAACCAAATTCTAGTCTTACCGCTATTGAAGGAGCAGTAATCTAGGAAGCTCATTTGGGCATGGTCTCCAAAGACTCCTTCATTAGGAGAAGTAAACAGTTTTAACTACCATTCCAGACATCTTGCCATTTGTATGACAAGACAAAGGTCATTTGTTTTGGTTATTGTTTTACTTATTTTTTGCGTGTGGCACTGGAGATCAAACCAGGGTCTCTGCTACTAAGCCACACCCCTAGTCCATACCTTGGGTATTTTAACTTACACCGAATCAATAAATATGATTACTATTCAGCGAACTCTGACATGACACAAAATACACATATTTCACATTTGAATACCTCGGGCCGTGAAAAAATATTCACTTTTTTCCTTGGAATTTTATGGGGAAGTTTCGATGATTCTCTCAAATAATGCCAGTAACTACCTGCATAGTATTACTTCTGAATATCTGTCAGGATGTATTTGTACAGAAGCTAGTACACCAATTACCACCTTTTCTTCTTGCTAGCCATTTACCAAAAGTGACTAGGAAACATCAGAATGACCTTGAAGATTTATTTTTAAACTCCTCTTTTGTTCAGTTTTCAATGTACAATGTGAAAGTGACTACATCTCCCATTTCTTTCTCGGCTCTTATTCATTTCTTAAGTACAGTACTATTCTAATACTAAATAATTCTTGCCTCCTAGGAAGTTCCTAGTTTCTGAGTGTAGCCAGTTACCAGGCCAATATTATCAAAAGGCTTTTTACCTACAAATCAGCAAATGTGATCTAATTTCTACATAACTATGGTTGTCTAAGTGGTTGATGATTTCAAATGACTTAGGAATTTTTCAGTGCTTATACAGTACCTAAAAATAGTGGCACAACCACTTCATATCAAAGTTCAAAAGCACTAATAACTAGATACGTTAGTCACCCATACAGTTGACTCATTTAAATGGCTACCACTGATTAGCACAAAAGGTAGCAATACATTGCCTATATAGCAAGTAAGCTACAGGTACACACACTACGAGACAAAAATTCCTTTAGAAACATTCATTTCCTTGAAAGTGAGCAATGATTTCATACTTGAGATGTGGCTCAACTTAGAGAGTCAATCTTGATTAACAAAGCCAAGAGAGAGCAGAGAATGAGGCCCTGAGTTCAAGCCCAGTTACTAGCACATAAAACAAACTACAAAAATGAGCAATGACATCTCACATTTATGCTAGATTCCCATAGTATCTATCCTACACCATAGTATGATACATTAAAAAAAAACTTACAACGTGATAAAAGAGGCTGGGTCTAAACTACTTTACCTTTAACATTCATCCATTCATCCATTCATTCAGTCAGTCATGCTCTTGTGCATGCTAGACAAGCACCATATTACTAAGCTGCAGCCCCAGACCTTTAATGTGATTTTGTTGCTAGCCTTACCACACCAGTGTGGAGTAAGAGCCTGAATCAGTGGCATTTTTCACCTCATCAGAAGATCTAAGCACACCTAACTTCGAATTTCAATCAGTTATAGGATCTTAAACAATGGGGCAATCTATCATTAGCTAATATTTGATTATGCTGCTCTACTCTGATTGGTCTATTTAATCTATTCACACACAATAAATCAGATACAGCTCCAATGCTGAGAGCTTTCATGGCTTCCTCTAGCTGAATTTTTTTGCCCCTGGTTAGTACACAGGAACCACGCTCTCTAGATTCACAGGACACGCCCTGGGAGCAGTTTAGGTGACTGGTCCGTGGCTACACTGACCACAGGAAGTTCAGTTTAGGAGAACCCTTCTGAGAGACAAACAGCAGGCTTGTAGGTCATCATGTCTCTATAGACCTGTACTGATGTAGAGATCTTCAGTCTCATTTCCTTGATGATGAAAATTAAAGCAGTTTTTCACCCAGAGTGTATACCTAGAAGCAGGTTTCCTGACAATGTACTATTTCCCTCTTCAAATCCTACAGCCTCTTTGACACACAGGGTCAAAACTTCCAACAGTGGGCAGTAGTTTCATGGGCATCAACTCCAATGCAATTGCTTCTTAGTACAAGACAGGAAGGGAAGGGGAAGGGGATATTAGCATGCATATAATGCGAGAGAATAAACCCTGAATATCACAAGCTTCACACTACCTCATTGATCATGTTACCATCAACACACCTCTGTACCACCCTAGAAAAACTTCCCAAGGAGAATAATGAAATCAAGAATAATAGCGTTGCAACTTGAATAATGCAATATTCAATTTGAATAACCTTCTCTACTTAGTGATTTATATTTTTCCTTACAAACATGAAAGAGCATTAAAGATATTTTAATCCTATGACCCAAATATAATTATTTATATTAATCCTATGACCCAAATATAATTATTTATATTTTAATTTTAATCTAGCATTTGTTCCAAATGAACGCATATTTTCACATAGCTGTCTTTATTATATGCACATATAATTATGCATTGTGATATTTTCACTTAATATTTCATAATCACATTCCATTTTTTAAAGCAGACTGAATCTTGAACTCCAGGTCTTGTGCTTGCTTAGGCAGCAATCTACTGCTAAACAATGCCTTCAGTTCAGCTCTCTTTGAACTGGTTCCTTTTGAGATAAGGGTCTCACTTTTCAACTGGCATGCCTAGACTATGATCTGCCATTTCACACTTGTTGAATATGAAGTGGCAGGCTTATGCCATTATGTCCAGCTTCTTCCACTGAGATGGAATTTTATGGATTCTTCTGCCTAAATTGGCCTAGAAATGCAGTCTTCATAATCTCAGGCTCTAGCATTCACCACTGTGCCCAACTGTTGGTAGTGAAGGGATGTGTGCCCACGCAGGTCCATCCTTCTATTTCAGCCTCCCAAGAAGCTAAAATTACTGGCATATGCTACCAGTGTCTGGCTACCAGCAAACTAGTTTACATAGCATTCATTTTTATTAGCCACACAATATTCCACAGTTAACATGAAGTTACTATTCCCACTTACAGTAAATATTTCACATGTTTTTATTTGCAACAATAAAAATACATTTCCTTATATTTCACCATTAAGTATTCCAGGTATATACGTGGATAGATATTCAAATATTTTTGACAAATTTCAAGCCATCAACAACACTATTTACTAAGCCTACATATCTTTATGTAAGCTTGCTATATTATTTTGCATGTATATATTGTAATCTAATGGGGCCATTTCTAGGCATCTCATTTTCTTTCGGGCATTCACATATAAATGAGGCTTTAATTCAGATTAAGCAAATAAAATGTTACTCGCATTATTTTATGTGGTTTTTCACATGCATTAGCACATGAATTTGGTGTGCATATGTTAGGCACCTTTAATTAGTACTTTATATTTCATTCTGCTCTTTGTTCTCTCCTGTTTAAACACTCCTGGATATTTCCTTATGCTCATATGTAGACTTGCAAAATTCTCAGCCACTTTTCCAGAAGATAATTCTTTAATCAAGTGCATTATTTCCCCTCCATATTCAGCCATACTAAATTTTTTAAAATCCCATTTGAAGTCTGATAATTGCATTGAATCATGTATATGTGTGTATATGTGTGTGAGAGAAAGAGAAAGAGAGAGAAAAAGAGAGAGAGAAAGGGAAGAAAAGAGAAAGGGAGGAAAGGCGAAAGGGAGGGAGAGAGAGGGACAGAGAGTTTCAGTTTGGGTTTACTATGTTCAAAAAAACATATTGAGCTACAATACGTATCTGTTTATGAAACTTTACTCTTACATCTCAATGGTCAATATTCTTCTGGTCAGTCTCTTGGTGTTCTTTCTTTTCCCATTTCAATTTCACTTTGATGAAATACTTCAGGCATTATGTCAAGCAACTAATTGTGTTAATTTCTCAGGAGCCCTCAAATGAATCCTTTACACGAGGAAACAGTGATTAAATAGAAGACATCTTTAAAGTCCGATCTTAAATAAAACATCTGGATTTCCTTGACAGAAACAAAATTATTCTGTAAATAAATAGCAACCACTGCAAAATAATATTCCATGCAACCATTTTAGTTATAACCAAGACTGA